CCCGTGGTTACGGCGGTAAGAGTAACGCAATCTATCGTTGAATAGTCAAACGAATATCAAAGAATCTAGTAGCACCCAGAACGCTCGAGAAGTACAACGTCATCTATTGACAGATAGCGGAAACTACTACTAAATATGTGTAGAATACTATCGATAATTCTAGGGATGAGCGCGTAACAATATTTATATATTAGTATGGATAAAACCGTAACAAAGCCGTGTCTATAAATTAAATATACTTTGATAAATTAAGGGGGGTGTAGATATTAATCGAAATAGATAGAAACACCTATAATTTGATGTTTTTGTCTGTCTGATTGTGCAGTTGTCACAGACAAAATTTACAGCAAGGATTTTCATGAAATATTCCGGGTGAATATAGGATCTTTTTTAGATTGCGATGCCTGGCGAAGCTGACATAGCGTAGCGTTTGCGTGACTGTTACCTAATTATGTAGGATAAATGTACGATGGGAGGCCGTAAATCAGTGTAAGCTTAATTCGTTCTCTCCTAATTCTTAAGGCAACACAATAGACAAATAGACGATTTGCTACGATCGTCGATAGGTGTTTCGTAGACGAAATGAGACATCGAGATTAGTCGTGCATATAAATTAGTAACATATTCCGTAAGTGTCAAAAGGAAAAAAAAAACAAAACTGTGTCATGACTTAAGTGAATTTAAGGTCGATGTATGTATCAAAACTTATAAAGATAAAACGGTTAAGCAAAACTTTGTAATGATTATACGAATCGACGAGAACATGGCGACCGTGGCGTATTATTTTGTTTCTGCGAACAAGTATAAGTTTTATTAAAACCGAACGTAAGAAATCCGTATCTGGGGGCACAAGCCGCGCCGACCGGCAGCTGTTCTACGTCAAACGAATGTCTCGAGTGGCCGCGAAAGAAATATAAAATTTAATTTCCTGGTCCCGCTTTGCGAGCCTCCACGAATGCCTTAACTTTGAGTGCAATTTTCATTAGTTTATTTTAGTCTGTTTTCTGGAACTTCTCGAATAAAAAAATCTAAAGGAGATAGCAATAATTAGGACGTCTGTTAAACAGAAAACTTCCATTATCCGGTAATTTTATTTAAATACTAAGTGGAGAAGACGAAATAAGTATATCTAGTTAGTTTAAATCTAAAAAATCTAGTTACATTAAAAGTAAGAGACCTGATTTATTTTGATTCTTAAGTGGATAACAAAAAAATATAACTAACATTCTGTATTAATTTTATTGCATATAATTCAATTTGGAGATCCATCGACATTAAATTTGGAATATAATAAATAAATAATAATCATGAGTGAACTTGCACAAAGACCTCAGCTGTGTTTGTTATTCCGGGACTTGAAGAGTCTTAGGTATCTCTTATATAAATATCAGTAGCTAATACAACCAAAGAAAAAGTTTAAAAAGACACCCATAGACAGCTTAATTAAAGTAATATATCACATACCATACATACATAAATCTTCCCTTCTGAGGCAACTATGGACTAACACTTCCTTCTCTACCGAGCAATGTCTCTAAACTGTTTTTAAATTATAGTTAGATAAATTACGATTTAAACAAATTACAAATTCGTACTTTTTCAAGCATGGTCAAAAGCTAGTCAAATAATCTATGGCAATACTTAAATCATTGTATATTAAAGGAGCAGCAATAATAAATTACAAATTTCATAAATAATTCATTTTTATTTTTAAAGTCGAACATTGAGTCTTTTCAGAAAAACTATTTTTCTAGTAGCATGTAAATTTTTATTTTTATTAGATTGAGCTTTCTAGCAAATATGGGGGGCCATAAATAATAATGCGTCACTCGTCTTTGAAATCTGAAAAAATGAAGATGAAAGATATTTAAAACGTTTAAATTTTTTCTCATGAAACATGAATCAATATATCGCACTACGTTTTTTCCTAGCCTGTATTCCGCCAGGTAAAGTCCTTAATAAATGTTATAGTTCAATTTGGCTTAAGATCTACAAGTACTAGATTTGTCATATTGAACTAGACTTAGAAACTTTTGCAAGTAATAAATGAGATGGGCGGGTGAGTGGGTAAGAGCCGTAAGAAAAAACTGGATGCGTGTAGTCCAAGAACATAAGAAATGAAAATCGAGGTCGAAGAAGAAGAATAATGGCGACCTGCTGCTTAACTGATGTCATCTCCTCTTTTCGGAACGATTGCCATACATTATAAAATCAAAATACTATATTTTTACTGAGAGAATGCGTGAAATTTTTAAGGTACCCACTGTATGTGTACAAACAAGAGGTCAATCGTCGAATCTAACTTGGATGGGAAACGTTCGAAAAGCTACGCAGAACTTTTTCATCACAAATACCACAGTGTCTGAAGATGAAAGTCTTTGACCAAAATGTGTTTCCCGTTATGACATATGAGACATGGTCGCTCACAATGGGCCTTATCAGAAGGTTCAAGTTCACTCAAAGAGGAAAGGATTCTGCTCGTGAGGAAGGACATTCGCAGGAAAATCATGGTAATAGACATAGCCTAAAGTTCGTACAAAAGGTGTCCGCTGGGGCCGAAAAGTTGTTGAGTTTTTTTATTTTTTATTGCTTAGATGTGTGGACGAGCTCACAGCCCACCTGGTGTTAAGTGGTTACTGGAGCCCATAGACATCCACAACGTAAATGTGCCACCCACCTTGAGATACAAGTTCTAAGGTCTCAAGTATAGTTACAACGGCTGCCCCACCCTTCAAAGCGAAACGCATTACTGCTTTACGGTAGAAATAGGCAGGGTGGTGGTGCCCACCCGCGCGGACTCACAAGAGGTCCTACCACCAGTAATATACCTAAAGAAAAACGTCGGCCGCGTACCGGGAGACGTAGCGTAGATAGGGTGGACTAACGATCTATTGAGGTTAACGAGAATCCGCTGGATGCACACATCCTAGGACTGGTCGTTGTGGAAAGCCTTGAGGAGGGTCTAAGTCCAGCAGTAGACTCTGTGTTATTAGGATAGGTATTTGTTCTATTAGGACTACTACGGACGGTTGATGTCATGAGGCCATAGCTCGAAAAGGCAAAGGTCATATAACGGACAGACTATTACTGTATTTTTTATTTTAATTTTCATAACACATACCAAACAGATTATTATTAAAAAAAATAATGAGAAAAGTTCAGTCAGACCCCGAATAACCGATCTTTCACAAACACAGTGGTACAAAGGTCAGTGACACTAAAGCACCCACTAGAACAACATTTTAGTATAACTTTGTCTTTGGTTCGTTACTTGAATTTGTTTGACCAATGAATCATGACTAATAATTACATTATAATTGGATCTGTGTCGCCGTTCAGACACTGTAACTACTTAACTAGAACACTGTACTTATAGAATCATAAATTTTACTTTCGATAACATAAGAAAAGGTCTTTTATTTATGGACTCCGACGGACCTTTAACCTAGTTTAATAAATGTAATATATTTTTACCCCTTACGCAGCCGTGACGTACCTGACGGCCGGCATAACGCAAGTCCGTATTGTTATTATGATTGATGGTGTCGGAACGTTAGCTCAGGAAATATCTTGTGTCACCGAATCCATCCAAGTTAAATATTTACATTGAATTATGTTTTATACTTACCTGAGTAATTTTGTAATGGGATACAGGCTTGTTTTGACTGACGGTTATTGGTATAGTATTTTGCTACAGAGTGAGCCTCCGTTGAGCTCCAGTGTGATAGAGAGGATATTGGTCATCTATCGTCGGTGTATTAGTCGCGAAGACTAGCCAATTTTGTATAGTGGCTTGAAAAGTGATATGAGGCAGTTTATAAAGCAGTTAGAAGCAGCGCTGTGTCCTGATCGCGCACTTATTGTATTTTAGAAATACTATTATTTTCAATGTACTCTGTTGAAAAAGGAGGCGAAAGAAGTGAGAGGGAAAGTTCTACTATAGAGTTAAAAGCAGAGAGGACTTCAAACACATTTGCTTCTTGTTTATGTGGAGGACTGATGGTTGTACGCCGATGAGCTCATTCAGTGACCTACGGAGTGTAATCTGTTTGAATCTACAAAAACATTTTTAATTAATTAATTACTTGTGGCTGTATTGTAAACGTACTCGGGTAATTACCACCATTCTATCTATTTATGTTGAGCGAATCATCGTGGGTAAGAGATAAAAATAGCAATTATAAAATTGTCTTTTTAATCGTTATTACTGCTCTTTTTCAGCAATACTCTGAATTACTACCTGAATGAATAGCGATTTCGTCTGTCTAATGATTTCACTAAAACTGTTTTGTCTCTAGTATTTTATTAATATTCATCATAAAAGTCATAATAATAAAGTCCCGTAGGTGTTTTACCAATTAATAGCAATTTTGTCCACATACATACTTGCAATCCTTGCTAATTTTCGTGTACTACCATCATCGACCTGTTACATAAACCATTACATTATTTATCGAATTAAGGATCTAATTTTTAAATGTCATAACCATGATGGGTTCTATTCAAAAGTGAGCTCCTTAGAGCGCTCGTGACAGATTTATCTGATCACTCAATCTTGCAAAGTTACTCGATGAATGAAGGCAGTTGAGGAAGGTCTGATGGTTATACTATTAAAGACGAGTTAGAAATTTCTGTTATTAGAATTTGTGTATGTTTCATTTTGACTGATTATTATTATTGAAAATTGAAAACATGTCTCGTAATGTAAGTGTTTTAGAAGTCACTAATACAACTGGAACACACACTAAAAAACTAGACTGACTAGACACTAGAAAACTAATATAGGCAATACATACTCATTAAGTCAAAAAATATATCAACCTTACAATAACAAAATGAAATATGACCGTAAGTAATTAAATATTTTATAAATAATTACAATAAAAACAAGTTAATGATTTGTTTTCGATAATTTGATTTACAACACACTAATTTAATTAATTAATCCTTTATAATAAATAATAAGATAGTGATTCTAATTTTATCATTCTTCATTTCAGGTAATTGTTATATCAAGCTCTTTGATCGGTAAGTACCTATCTAAAATCAGTGAACCGAGCCATGGTTTCGTATTCATAAGAGGATCTCTACAATTCCCAGAAAGTAAAATTTACTTTGTGGAAATCGGAGCTATAAATCTGAAAGCTACAAAGATAGTGTGAATTCACTTCAGTTAGTAATTCACTTCCCAACTGTTTTAGACAGTAAGCGTTTCGCCAACTAGCATTTCCAAGGAAATGAGATTTTCTGTTATGTACCTATATTCTGATGTTAAGATTTACTTCTATTATGTGAACGTTCTGGCAAAATTACTTTAGATGCTTTTCATTCCGGAATTTGAATCAACAGTAAAGGCGATTTAGATATTTTTTATAGTTACAAATATGTGTACAGTAAAGAAATAAAGGAACCCAAATGAGTTGCAAGCTCAAAATGTTTTGTTAATTTAAGTAAATTTATACAAATTATTTAATCTTTCATATAAAAGAATAAATGTAATTAAAGATGTTAAAATTTTACTTGGTTTGTGTGTTACTAAGTTTGTAATGTTTTTCGTAAATTCGAGTTTATTTTCAAATTAAAATAAGTCTTTAGCAGCTGCGTTGTTTTTGAGACTGGGTAGTTTTAATTCGGTTCTACGAATAAGTAATAATAATAACTAAACTTGATGAAGCAAAGCAATCCTGCTGCAAGCCAGGTAGACCAAGAATTCTCTGACTATTTAAGTACTAAAAAACTTGAATTGACAACCACTAAAATTTATACGTTCAACATCGAATGTAAAACGAACAAATTGAAAAGTAACGCACACTTTCACTGTTTAATCCAAGTAAGTAAGTAATTTAAAGTATTTTTTCATTCCAAGTCTTTGAAAAACTCTACTAAATATTCTATCAGAGACAAAGTTTTTTACACTTTATAATAAATACACTAGAATACGATTTAGAAAAAATATATATTTGTTCGTTCTTAAGATTGCAACATTTCCTTGGTACAGGCGTTTAATCTGTTCAATGTGCCATTATAGTCAAAAGTTACGTCGTTATTTCCTAATTTATTTGGACGTTGCGTAACCGGGATCTGCGTGTGAGTGAGCCGCCCTACCATCTTCGGGCTCACTTAAAACCACATACGCATTTTCCGACCGTCTGGTATTGACCGGGGATTTGCGAAGCAGCACTACGCGATCTACAATCTCCAGAACTTTCCATTTGTGAAGAAGCATTATTGAGTCAATTTAATCCTTTTCAAATCGCATCATCGGCTTCTCAGTTACTTTACTTTTGATACAAGAGGTGCATTCTATTTTATTGTTGTGGACAGCTATTTAATATCTAATGTTAAAAGCTTAGTCGATGATTTTAAGCTACACATTTTATTTATTTTTTATTTATTGCTTAGATGTGTGGACGATTTCACAGCCCACCTGGTGTTAAGTGGTTACTGGAGCTCATAGACATCTACAACGTAAATGCGCCACCCACCTTGAGATATAAGTTCTTAGGTCTCAAGTATAGTTACGTATAGTTAAGTATAGTTATTTAGGAGTGATTTTTAAAGTTTTCATTAACAAATTCCACTTATATTGAATTTTACGGATTATAATTGCACTATGTATCTAAGCATCAGGATGGTTGTGATGATGATGATAATTTTAAGGTACATTTGCCTTTTTAGCTTTTTTTTTTTTTTTTATTGCCATTGTAGGCAGACGGGCATACGGCCCACCTGATGGTGAGTGGTTACCGTCGCCCATGGATTTCAGCAATGCCAGGGGCAGAGCCAAGCCGCTGCCTACCGCTATATATAGCTAAACGCGTTCGTATTTAAAAAAAAAAAAACAAATAAAGAAGAAAGATTTGTAACAATCTTGAGTAGCGATAACAATTTAACGGCTCTATGTATTAGAAAATCGAAACACAAACGAAACCTACGTAAGTCAGAACTGAAAAACAATTTTGTTTTTGCTTTCAAATATCAGGGAATTTCCATTTAACTTTTCCCGTCAACGACTTTTATTTATGTAAAAATGCTTTGAACGTGACTCTTTTATAAGTATCGACCTATAAAATTATGCTATTTTGTTGTTTCCCTTTCCAAGTTCTGAGTTTTAAATTAATTTCCCAACCAATGATGAATTAGTAATAGGACCTTTTATTTAAATAAACAATTGTCTATGTCAATATTTTTTAGTTGTTTAGAATGTTCATTTCTTTCGTTTGATTTTAATTTTTACCGAAAAATATGTTGTTTACTCTATTTTTCTTTCTCCTTTTTAATAGATGTCCATATATGTATGTAGAATGTTCATACGTAGTTTAGTACGTGTCGTAGCAAAAGGTCTAGAGCTCAATTAGAGGGTTCTTTACAAATTATGTAAATGCAAAAAATTCACAGACTGTCGTCATTAAAATCTGACGCCCTGTTGACCCCCGTAGACATGCCACTTTTACACTGTTAATAAACATGAAATTTTTTAGAACACAAACCCCACCGGGAGGCTNGTATGTAGAATGTTCATACGTAGTTTAGTACGTGTCGTAGCAAAAGGTCTAGAGCTCAATTAGAGGGTTCTTTACAAATTATGTAAATGCAAAAAATTCACAGACTGTCGTCATTAAAATCTGACGCCCTGTTGACCCCCGTAGACATGCCACTTTTACACTGTTAATAAACATGAAATTTTTTAGAACACAAACCCCACCGGGAGGCTGTGAACAAAAATAATTAAGTTATTTTTGTGCTGGGATTTCGAGGTAGAATTTTTTATCACGATCGTTTATTATGTACACAGACGGTTTCAGAAATGATCAGGACACGTAAAATGTTTGTATTTAGTGATCATTATCACTGGTAGAAGTTGTCGTCGCCTAAAGGAAAGGAGATGACCGGCGAATTCGTATCGGGAATCGCATACATGTACCAACATTTGTAGTACCGCTTAACTCATGTTCACGAATGGCTTCCACGACGAAGGAATAATATCATTTAATTAATTACAAAATTTAATTAAAAACGAAACCCGCAAAAAATTTAATTTACGTAATACTGGTGGTGAGGTGTATTTTCAGGCCGCATGATTCGGTATCACAATCCTGCCTGCTTCCACGGTGAAACACTCATGCGCTCCGGTTTGAAAGGTTGGAACAGCCGTTTTACTATACTATCGACCCTTAGACCCATATCTCAAGGTGCATAGTGGCATTCTCATTGTCACATCCAAGGGTTCCAGTAATAGCTTGGTGGACATGACCTCATTAATGAAATTTCCCCTTTTGATTGAAAATAGTTCTATAGTTTAACTTCAAATTCGTTTGAAACTCTTAAGCTTTGCAAACATTGCAAAGAAAACATACAAATCGCTTTAATTAGATGCGACGTAATATTACTATGAAACCATAACATTCGTGGTAAATTAATTGTGAACAAGTCATAACGTGTACAGCTAACATGGCATATTTCAGTAGGGGAGGGTGCTCCTCGGAACCTTGACTAAACGTCAGCAGCGAATTGAATGGGGCTCTAGTTTTGTGGTTTCTCACGGCTGTGTCACGAGAAACGAGGCCTTTACTATTGTGGTGGTTAGCAACTCGCATTCGGTATCGTAGGGTTGCCATTTCCGGGTTTACCTCTCTATTTAAGCGTTTGTTAAATTATTAAAGCTTATTAATAGTAAAGAGGCGTATATGTACTTAACATACATTGGTTAATTGAAGGTAGTGTTAGTTCTATGAACTGAAAACTTGCTTTCACATTATTTTAGGCGGTGGTTTGGGTATGCAATTGGCTTGGTTGAGGTCCGTGATCACTCTTAATTAGGTGAATCATATACTTTTTACTTTCAGAAGCTGCGAAAGTCCATGTGTCGTTGTATCATCATTCCATATAATTTAAGTTTCATACAAAATTATTGAATAACAAAACAAACAAGAAACTCTTAAAATGGCATGGGTAATACAATGATCGATGGATGCAATGTGAATGAATATTCACTATCCGTAATTTGAACTATTGTTGAGGGTCCCTGAGACAAGCTCGACCTGTACCGATATCGGTCGCACAACTCGGTCAGGGCCGCGTGTTCCTCTAGATACCTACGTAATATGAATATTCTGCTTGTTGCGCGCCGCTCTGTGATGCACAATGCACTGAATAATGGTAAAACGAGAGATAAGATCTTTTGAAAAGCCCCGTAACTATTGAATTTCAACGGATCGAACGGATTATTCTTAATGTTTGACATTTTGTGAATATGCGCGGTTCGTTCCGTTTCAAACTACTTTGGCCTTTGGTCTCAATTTGCTATGTGCTATGCATGTTGGGCTGTTTATGTTTAACATTAAATCGTCTGCCGTTTTTAGATTTGCCGTCTCTAGATTTTCATTAATTTTTATTCTTCACCTTTATGAGAAACACAAAATTATTAGTAAACTAAATAACCAAAGTTAAATATTCAGAGGTAGGTTAGCGTAACGTGGAAGGCTGTCAGTGGCGGCCATTATAGGTACAAGGCCGGCTGCCCCATTATTTGGCAGCCTCGTGATCTTTGTGAGACTAATTTTTTGCAATATATCTGGTATTGAACGTAAGTATATTTTTTATTATCACGTACGATGCCAACTTCAAATTATAAATTATTAATAAGTGAACGAAATTAAACATATTATTATTAACTTCTGATATTCTCCTCGTGCAAGGGTATGTTGTAAGCCCGCAAAAATTTCTACTGTACTACCGATGTAACTATTTTTACTGCGAAGCTATCTACGCACACCATCTAAATGAGATTATTGATGTATTATAGTATTTCTGTAAAGGAAACGCGATCCCTTGTCTCATTAATTAGGTTCGCAACTCATTTTACCTTTATCGATTTATATATAAATACAATGTGGCAGAGAGAATCTAAAGTTAGTACATAGTACACGGTGCCTTAGGCTGAATTAATAATGTATTTTCTTCAACGTTGTTTGAGGTTAAGCTTCAAGTTTTCGTTCTGAAGACGTGCCTGTTTAGTCGAATATTTA